TTCGTATACTGGGCCACTGAATGCATCATAATGGCCATCCTGCTAGTACTTTGTACATCTTCTCTAAATATCCAGAGAAACGGGGCCAGGCCGAACGGGGTCAGACAAGGATCCCCTGAAAATTAGGGGCACCTTATTTTGGGGGTCCTTGTATAGGGTCCCCTATTTTCGAAAACCCCCTTTTGTTGCCACGTTGCCAGTGCTTTCTGACTGGTGTGGTTTGGGATGTGGTGGCCGTGGCGTCAGCGGTCTTTCTGTCTCAGGTTCGCGTGTTGATCCTTGGGAAGCTAACAGCTTAGGCGCTGGTCGCGGCAGATCGAAGAAAGAAGGCCCAACTACAAGAAGTAATCTTCTTACCGTTGGGCATTGCATCGCCCACATGTGCATGCGGATATGCGTATGGTGTAGCCGTCTGTGCATCACTAAGGCATCCATCTCTCTCCTTCTCTCGGTATAGTAAATTGCGACATGAACACCGATAAGAAGAACAAACACCTCCCCCCCCCTCCACCCTCATCTTCTAAAGTGCTTCGGACAGCTCGCCGTCTCAAGCCCTGACTGCCCCTCCCGGAGCAGGTGCTGGTTGGCAACATCGGGTCGAAGACTCGTATCAAGTGTCTCGATTTAGGGTTTAGCTGATCGCTTCCACTGGCGTGTGACAACTGGGAGGTTGATGTCGTGACCACTTGTTGTCGTTGCTGGTACAAGGCTTTTGCGAAATATGGCAGGTAACTGCTGGGATAGTTTCGAGACTGCAGCCTCACCGTGCGGTTTTCGACTTGGGCTGCACCCTTCTGCCATACTGATCCAAAGGGCAGAACATGGCTGAACAAGTTGACATGCCGATTCACTTGCTTTTTGTTCACAGCTTGTCATGTTCGTGAGCCATTACGACTCCTCGGTCAGAAGCTGCTGTACCTGACAACAAGACCGAGTTCACAGATGCTGCAACTTATGCAACACATGAAGCAGTCATGATGCCATGCTGGGCTGCATGCATTGCCTTTAAAATTGCAGGGTGAGATCTTCGCACAAGATACATCTGTCATTGCCCACCATGCAGAAACAGTTCGGGTGAACGTGGGTTCAGCTCATTGGAGGCCTTCTTGTCCAAATGATTCCGCACTTCTCGCATGGCTGTCGTTGGCTTGTTGATGGCTTTCGATGATGGTGCAGCATGCCCAGGCCTCATGACGGTATGACTATATTGCGACATGTGTACATGCATATGTATATGTCTGTATCTATCTGTGGATAGCTCCCACAACTCTGTGGCAAAGCCTACAGGGTTCTTGCTATGAGAGCTATTTTGTGCGAGGTATGGCGTGTTGGGCGACAGCGTGAACGTGGCTGCACGGTTGAAGAGTCTCGGCTGAGTTTGGGGGTCCTGCATCCCTTTGCCCACGTAGAAAATTCCTGGCTTCAGAGCTAAAGCGGGATGCGAGGAGTCACTTTCAATGTCAAGAAAATAAGTATGCATAAATCTCTCTCTCTCTCGCTCTCTCT